ACAAGCAGCAGAGATTTCCGAGTGGGGATTTCAAAAATCGACCGTTGTTCCTATCCTTTTTTTTCTTAGCTTCCCCCCCCAATAATCGAGCCCTAATTTCTTCTATAAATACCCTCTTTTCCATTCATTGGAGAGGGCGGGGGGTCATTCTTCACTGATACAAGGATAGAGAGAACCATAGTTTATAGAAAACAAAGATTTTATAAGGTTGCAGATAGAGAGTTAATATTTGAACAAAAAGCATTGTCAAATAGCATCCAAAAGGACTTGAGTTTTATTTTAGTTTAGTTCTGTTTCTTCTTTCACGCATCGTCGCAGCTCACCGGAGTTCTCGGAATCTCGTTGTGGTCCTGGAAAGCTGCTTCTCTGCTCATTGTTCTCCGTTCGCTGCCCGTAAAGAGGTAAATCCTTTCTTGGTTTTGTTTAATTCGCGGTTCTTCTATGTTGTTCTGTTTATGATGTGTTCTTGGCTGTGTTTGTGTTCTGTTTATGTGTTATCCTTGTTTTGGTCTCCATATGTTAGGATTTGGTTAATGAGTATTAGCTAGTAATATCTTTTCTTTTTATATGTGTTATCTGTGTATACATTATGTTTTGGAGTAGTTTAGTGTTAGTTGTTAGCATATTAGATCTCACTCTTGCTCGACCATAAACTCTTCATGGTTCATATTCTTATTCCGATCTTAGCTGAGCTGAGTCTAAAAGGATTATCTAGTTGTTTATAGTCATTGGTTTTGGTATTTCTCCATCGTTTTCTCTGATTCAAAGTTTAGTAGAAAATTACTCTTATTTGCCTATATCTTTCGTTCTTTCAACTTCCTTTTCTCTCTTGCACTCACTTTAATTTCATCTTAATACATGATATACAGTTTCTGTGTATGCTTTCGTGTGCTTTATTTCTTCCAGCCGAGGACCTGTTTTTAGTTGATCTTTGGGACTGTTCTTTAGCATCTCTCAAAGAGTCAGGCTCGGATGAGTGAAAACTCTTAAATCTTATGCATCCTATTTCTTTAACTCATTATCTTTAGATCCATGTTTGATTTGGTGAGATAGGTATTTGTTGCCAGTTCTTAATCGGTTTGTTGCTCGCTGTTTAGGCTCTTCTGAAAGTTGCATTGTTAGACTGTCTATGTCACTTCTCTGTTGCTTGATAATTATGGAAATGCATATTTTATTATATTTTGTCAGTTCAAGTTAAGTTGCCATAGAGTCGAGTCTTGCAGCATAAGTTGTTTTCTTTTTGTTAAAGCGAGTTTTTACCTTGTTCTCCATTAGTTTCATGACCCTTAATATGGCCATATCTTGTCATGTTTATGATCCAAATAGTTTGGCTAATGTTGAGTTTCAATAGTCAATCTGCTAGGATGCCAAAAAATACAATGTTCCTCTCTCATCAGTAGACATATTACTTCAGTTCTAAATAGAGTGGCAAGTGATTGTTATGTTCTTTATTTGAAGTTGTGAAAAGTGTTAAAATCCCACTCTTGTTCAGTCTTCTAGTCTCCTTAGTTACTGCCATGCTCATTGTTTCTAGCAAATATTGCATTGATTGTTATGGAGAGCTAGCGGTTAGTTTGCTTCTTTATTGATGCTTGCATAGTTCTCCATTGATACCTTAGTATGAATAATGGCCTTAATTCCTCCGATCTATACTTGCGTACCCTTATACAATATTTCATAGCCATGCATTTCTTTCCGTATTTTTAACTCTTACTGCTTTATGCATTTCTTTGGATAGTATTCTAGTAGCAATATATATGCAGATTTCTTTCTAGTTGTTTTTGATACTTTCCATGGGTAGTTTTAATTTAGATAATATCAATTTGCATTAGTAACATGATTCTTAGATTCTTCTTATATGACTAGATGGGCACGGGCCCAACGATCTGTTATCAATTTAAAGATATTTTGCATGGTTATATAGTGACGAAGGATAACTTGTAAATATTAGAAGAACGAAAATGTAACACATAGAGAAACATAATAGTTAAAATTGCATAGCTCGTAATATATTGAAGCTAGCAAATTCTATATATAAGTAAATTGCTTGATGTATTTCAGTTTACACCTTAGTTCCGCAAATTCTTCACTTTTCATCCGTGTCGGATTCTTCAAATTTGACAAATCTGAAACGTATGTGTTAAGACATTTTTGTGTCAAGACACTAAAGAACCCCTTTTAGCCATTCTGAATATCAATACAAAATAACAAAAAAAAAATTACTATCTCATAGACACAGAATCCATCCAAGATTCTGAAGCTCCATCGTTGACCATTTTTCTGTTTCCTGAGAACATAAATATCCATCTCAGAGGTCCAATGGATCTATAGAAAAGAGACAAGAAGAAGCTATAAGGAAAGAAAAATAAAGCAGCAAGAATAAAGATAGATGGGACAAATTACACCACAAACTCCGATTTTAACAAAATTGAATAAAAACTGTATTTAAAATATGAAAAGAGAAAAAATAAAGAATTTCACCCACCTGTCGAAATTCTTGAAGACATTACGTGCTTGATGACTTACGCCAATGACAGACCTTCTATAGATTGTATCTGCACTTAATAGTCACAGTCACTTCTTAAAACCTTTATACCCTTCTTCTATTTTGGATTCTTCCAAATATTTCTTCAAGTGCGCTCCGAGTCAACAATAATAACATGCATGTAAAATCCTGTAAAAGAGAAGGCCAAGTATATACATCAAACCTCAAAAGATGATTCACTGATAGAACAAATAAAAAATCAAACAATTCAAATTCATCATCAACCTGATCAACTTTCAAAAGTGACCTAAAATTCCATCAGAAAGTATAGTCAAACAAAGAGATAAAAATATCTAAGTAGAAGCAACGAAGAAATGGAAATGGAAAAACTAATCAGGAATGAATATAAATCGTAAAGAAAGGAAAATGAAAGTCAATTTTATTACACACAATTTTATTACATCAAACCTCAAAAGATGATTCTTCACTGAGTGACCTAAAATTCCATGAGAACGAGAAAAATAAAGAAAGTATAGTAGTCAAACAAAGAGATAAAAATATCTCAGTAGAAGCAACGAAGAAATGGAAATGGAAAAACTAATTAGGAATGAATATAAATCGGAAAGAAAGGAAAATGAAAGTCAATTTTATTACACACAAATAAACAAAATTTTCAATTGCATGAGTGAAAATTGAAATTGTTGCTTCACTATTATAATAATCTTCCCTCAAAAACATTTAATTTTTCTAAAGAAAATACAATTGAGGAATACCATATATGAAGGTGTGAAGTTTTAAAACTTTGTGTTCCCATCTCATTAATTGTCAAGTACTTGTTATGAATAGAGCTAAATTAATTATACATTTCAACAACATATTTTACTATAACCTGCATAATGTGAAAAAACAAGTAAGACGAGCCTTTCAAATTATGTTTCTCTCATATATCTCAAAGGTTGTTCTCTTATCATTTATTCCACAAAAATGAAAGTTTAGACTTCAACATGGGTGAAGCATATTTTTTTTTTTTGAAACTGGTAAGGTTGAATTCTTCAGCATAGTATGTGCTCCAAAAAGGGATAATTACAGAATTTCTATCAAATCTATAATTTGATCTATATCACGAAGCTGTTTACACCAAAACAAGTAGATACTATACTTTGTGGATGGAATTGGATTTAAATGAAAGTGGAACATATCACTTTCATATCATAGGCCCATAACAGATCCTTGAGGGTCCCATCTTCTACTTCACTTCCAAGCCTATTCAGTCACTAAGGGGCGTGTTCTTTTTTTCTTCATTTTACTAAAAGGCACTTTCTTTTTTGTCATTGAATAAACCTCAACGGGACTGAATCTATCTATATTGCACGTTCTCTGCTTTGTTTTGTTGTTTGTTCACAAAGATTATAGAGCAGTTATGAATATGGTATGTGTCCGAAAGGGTTTGGAAAAGAAGACAGCCTACCAGGAGAAGATGCCACCTACTGTTATTAAATCTCCGGATCTCACAGTTTGGAATCATCTTGCGAACCTGAATTGGATATTGCTCAAAATGTTCGGAATAAGAAAAGACTACAACAATTAATAAACTTCTTGTAAAGATGACAAGAGAGAGAAAATCAACTATCTCCGCTGAAGGCGCAGGCATTTAAAAATCTCTCCTTCATCAAATTTTACCAATGACACACTGGAACTCTGAAAAATCCCTCTTTCATCAAATTGCGAAAGAGAGATTTTTAATGTTTGCTTTTTAAAGAATTATGCATACAAACAGAGCTGAATGATTTGTTCAGTAGTTCTTCAAGTTATTGGTTTTTCTGGCTCAGCAGTCGAACTGTTCAAGTTGAGTGAAAGTTTGTGGTGCAAGAAACTAAACCAATCAATTAAAAGAAAATGAAATTAAGAAAAAAGTTAAAAATAAATATCACAAGTTCTTTGCAGTTTTTGTCAAAAGATGACAACAGTAACTGTAGAAGCATAAAGAAATCCTCTGCGCGTGAGTTTAAATATCAATACAGTACACCTTTCTGGAAAAGATAATTGCAGAAGGTGATAAAAATCGAGAATTAATTAGTCAAATAGTTATTGTTTGCCATCCACAAATAGCAATTGCTTTACCACGAAAAAACTGTAAATTAAAATTAGAGGGCAGAGATCATATATAGAGAAATAAATAAAAAGAAAATGGACTTGAAGTAGATGCTTATTTTGTGTTATTCGATATTGGCACTTGATAACTCTCTAGTACATTAGTAAGCTGTGTCATATGCAAAGTTACTATCCGATTTTCTAGGTTTTTTCTTTTTCTTTTACCGTCAATCAAGTACTTTTTGAAAATACAAGTTTTGATTTCTTTTAAAAATTAAGTGGCTCTCTTTGAAAATTGATTTTTATTTCGAAACTTTAGTCTTTTCTTTTTCATTTCTAAAACACTAATAAATTAAAAGACAAAAAAAACTTCAAAACACACATAATATATACGATATATAACGGTAGGTCTAGGAGCAACAATTGCACCTAATGTAAAATGCAAATTAGGAACAACAAATTAAAATTTTCGTGATGAGGCAATAATTGGGCCTGAATAAATATGCTCCAAGTCCAATCCCACAAGCCCAACCGCGCAAATTGAACCGCTTTGGCGCTCGTCTTCTTCATAAATCAAAGAGGTTCAAATTTGAAAAGCTTCGATCGACTTTTCAGAAGGACAATCACCACAACTTAATGATGCGAAGATTCAATTCCGCTGTTAATCATCAACCAAAAACCTTGAATTCTTCAGCTGGAAACATCACTCAACATCATCGCCTCAATGATGAAGACCGATTTGGTACTGACAATTACTTTGTAACTTAATTTTTCATTTCCGGCTGATCGATTTACCAGTTGTTTTGAATATCATAGATTATGTTCTCGTTTTGGTTCTTCAACAATTTTAGTTTCTACCGGTTTATAATGTGTTAATCCACGTTATAAATATTGGCGTGATTGATTGCGAAATGGTGTATGTATGATCTGTTACTGGCGGCCTACTGCAGAAATGTCGGTGTATGAAACCTGTTGCCCTGAATCGAACACTAGAAATATAATTTAGAACTTCTCGAAACTATATAATACTAAGTCGGAACTTAATTTTCATTTGCGGCCAATCTGCCAGTTTTTTTGAATCTCAGATTATGTTTCTCGTTTAGGTTCTTATACAATTTTAGTTACAGCTACCGGTTTATATATGTTGATCCATCTATTAAATATTGGCGTGATTGATTATGAATTGGTGTGCTTATGATCTGCTACTGCAGAAATATCTGTGGATGAACATGTTGCCTTGCATCAAACACCATAAGTATAATTAGAACTTCTCCAAACTATATATTTTATACTAAAGTTGGAAGTTATTGCCGCAAGCATAGAGACAAGTTTTCTGCTGTTCTGCGTTCATCTACTTGAAATTATTTCCGAACTTAATTTTTCATTTCTGGCTGATCGATCTACCAGTTTTTTTGAATCTCATAGACTATTTTTTTGTTTTGGTTCTCCTAAGATATGTTTTCCAGCTACTGGTTCATAGATCGACTTTATAAATATTGGTGTGATTGATTGTGAATGGTATGCGAATGGTCTGCTACTGCAGAAATGTGGGTGGATGAACCTGTTGCCTTAGAATCGAACAATATAAATATAATTTAGAACTTCTCCAAACTATATGTTTATACTAAGTTGGAACTTTTTGTCACACAAAAAGTGACAAGTCTTCTGGGTTCGCAGTTTGCACTGAATTTTAGAATAATGACTTACAAGTTACTTCTTGGATATTGCCAATCATAAAATAGCTTATACATATTGAATAGATGGCTTTGGATGAGTCACATTGAAAATTTTCAATTTCACCTGTTTGACTCGAAGCTACTTCAAACGATCGTAGTCCAACCACATATGAAGAAGGTCGTACACTCTTAACTTTTTCCTTATTTGTGATGTATTTTGCTTGCATTTTCATAATTGATAGGCTTCTTATCATCTGCAATATGTTAAGTGGAACCTGTCGAGATGCTTAGAATGTGAATGATTTGAGATCCTTGGTGCATTTTCAGGATTGTGTGTTTTTATTTTGGATTATTTGGTCGTAGTTGTTATTCAACAATGGTGTGTTGATATTATATGTCAGATTGCACGTATAGCTTCACCTATTTGTTGGATTTTATTTTTTCATTTTTTTTCTGTCATTTTATTGGGCATGGTATCTTATTAATTGCAACTGCAATAGCAACTGTGCCTAATTCAAGTTGGGGTCCATGTGTCTCCATTTAAGCCTTAGTATCTTACTCTTTATAGCAGTACAAATATGTCTTGAAGCTCATTTCATTCATAAGCTTGCTAAGAAGAAGTAGCTTGTGCCAAACCAGATGAATAGTGCATATAATTGATTTGTACGTGATTACAATAAAATTTCTATGATTAACCTCAAATTATTAGAGTCCTGATGTAATCAAGGAGGTGTTATAAATCCTCTTCCTTATTAATGAAGTCTCTTGTTTGCCATTTTTTATGTTGTGTGTTTCACGTCGATGGCATTTTACCAGTAGTAAAGATGCTATGAACCTGAGTCATTTAAGATCCTGGCAAGTATCTGTACTCAGCTACCACATATCAGTTGTGCTTTCAGACTAAATGGAGGTAGCTGGACTTACCATGGATATTTCATTAATTCATTATCTTTATATATGATTTTGTATGGTTTCGTTCATTTCTTGCATTTTGATTTGATTTGTATGGCCATTTTTTCCTATATCTCATTTATTAATTATTATCGTGTTAACAATTTTGTGCTTGATATTTGACCTGTACCCACCCTTTATCCCCCAGCTATACATGACATTTGTAGTATTTCTCACTGTTAGATGTGATCAAGGACAAAAAGGTTGCATCCCCAGAAAACGAAGCAGATCCTCTTCCAAATGCTGGAAGAGTTGCATTGTCCAAAAAATATCGTACAGCTCGTAACCCCAATTGTAAGATTGTTCTTTCCTTGAGTACTCCCTTTTTTATTACCTATGTCCTAATCAGTTTATTATTTCAGAAGATGTTAACTACTTCATCTATATCCCTCTAAATTCTACAAGAATAATAGTATTGTTAGTGCAGCTGATACTCCCAAAACTTCAGAGTACGCTTTCTTCAAGAAATTGAAAAAGAACATTGGCCATAGCAATTCAGATCTTCTCCATAGAGGGAGTAGACTATCCAAGATCACTCAACCTAGTAATTGTATCTCAGGTGGGTTGCATTATGATTTCTAATTAGTTAACTTTCTGGTTCCCCAAAAGCTTTAAGCAAATTTCAACTTGCTTTATTTTTTTCCAAAACCACCTTTTATTTGAAGGATTTAGCTAATTATGCTTAATGTGCAGACACACGGAGCACATACAACGTGCTGAAGTGCCCAAATAAGGATGTTAACATCCCAATTCAAGTTGAAAAGGAACATCAGACTAATGAATGCCAGTACTTTTCACCTGTTGATGGTGTCATAGGTAGGAAGCAGATTATACCGCGTACAAGCAATATAAGCATCTTGACTCTGTTTGGTCAACCTCATTAATTTTGACGATCTTCATGGTACACCAAAATGCAGGCATATCCAAGGAGGCAAAACTTAAGTACTTTTCACCCCCAACTGTAGTGACTCCTGTATATTCAAATTTGCTGCTGTCACCCATTGCAGGTCCATCACATAATTCAGGTTATATTCAATTCTCTTGGGAGCTATGATTCTTCACTTAAGATACTGAATGCATAATTACGCTATCAATCCCTCACCTCTTCCTTTCTATGGATAATTATTGCCTTGTGAGATGGATATGGGAAGAACTAGAATGGCTGCTTCATTTGTGAGCATTTATATTTATCCAAGAAAAGATGGAAAACGAAACACTAGGGAACTATTTTCTCAGACTCTCCAAAAATGATGCCGGACCTGTGTCGGATCCTCCAAAAAAACCTACTTTTGGAGGATCCGACACACCTTATGACATTTTTTAAGAGTTCGAGCAACATAGCTAGGGAATGATATTACTGGATTCTTCACTCTAAGACCAAAACTTGCTGTTATTCTTTCTTTCTCAACATAATCTTTTAGTCGTTTGAGCTAGATTAAGGTCAATCTCCCACGTGTTCCCTTGTATTAGCACTCTTATGGCAATAGTTTTTGGCACACTAGCAATACCTCAAGAGGAGGCTTTTTTAGCCATGGTGAAACAAGAATGAGAACCTTGTCTGTTTGAATATGTGCTCCATTGTATAAGGTGGGGAATCATATCTGTTTCTTGTTTTGTCTGTGTTCTGCTGTTACGTTAGCTGACTGGTTTTACTAAACTCAGTCAGCTGGTTATGGTGCTTGCTTTTTAGCAGTTAACAGGGCATATGATTAGACTTAGATGTAAACATAAACATTTGTTCAGAGACATTTACGTCTTTCTTATCATTCTTAGGGAGTCAGTACTCTGGTAATGGGATTTTTGCAGCAAAGAGGCAGAAACTTTGTCAGCGGGCAAATAAACTGTTTCTTGACGTCCAAAAACTCAATTCTGAAAGGTCGTCCAGATTAACGTTTTCAGTTGTTTTTGTATATTGATAAGTTCCATCTTAACTTGACTTAGGTTTCCAGGTTTGATTTGGTTTCTGCACTTCTTAGGCGGCTGTTTCCTGGAAGGAAGGAGGATGAAGTATGATCTCTTAGCTTTTTCAGCAACGATATAAGTTTTAAGTTCTTTTATTCTTCTTGACTTCTCTTACTTGAAATTTCAGGATTTCTGGGATTCACAGGTCAGGAAAGGGGAAATAGCAAGTACGAGCTCACTTGCAAATGCTAAGCCAGATCATGCAAAGACACGACCTCCTTCAAGGCACATAGAACATGTTGTAGCACCAGAATATAGGATGAGCCAGAGTGATTGCTGTCCCAGTAATTTCTTTGGTAGGCCAAAGGAGAGAGTTCCCCCAGAGTTGCACTATGAAGATGCAGATAATAGTCAAATTTCAAACAACAAAATAACTACAAGTTTGTGGGATCAGAGTGATTCATTGCCTTCATTATCCTTTGACCATCATGGGCTTGCTGATTTCCTACCGTATAGACTTCATAGTGCAGATACACCTGTAAGTAGAGGAGCACAAGACTTATTCTTAGATTGGGATTTCAATGAGAAGAAAAATGATCCTGTATTAGCCATTACTACTATCAGAGGGAATAAATTGTGTTCACCAATAGCCACCTCATGGCACGTTGATTACCAGCAGCAGAGTACAGAAAAGAAGCTTGATGCGCTGGCATTGTGTTCATCGTCTTTATTTATGAACTCTGGATATTCTGATGTGCTGCCATATTCTTGTTCAACAAGCTTTCATAAGAAACTCTTTCCAACTGACATCTGCTCCAAGGAATTTGGAACGACTCTTGAACATGAAGAATATGCAGTTGCAAGAATGGACCGGTTTGATCTACCCTTGCTATGTAGCTCAGAGGAGCAAGATCTTCTGGAAGATCGTAATCCTGAGAATCCATTTGAAAGCAGCAATGCAATCATCCCATATCTAAGTCATCATGAGAAGCATCATTGTGATTCTGATGGCCTCATGCCAATGGCCTTGGATACTTTTGGCTGGAAGTTCTTGTCAGCAGCCAGTTCCCCATTGCACAAGGGTTTATCAACCTATAATGCTTTAAGACTGCCTCATATAGAAGATTCAATTGGTCTAACACATGAAGAGATCAAAAACAGCTTATATGATTCAAACCCAAGAGAAATTGCTCCTCAATCAGTTGAACGTGCACTCAACTCTGACATTTGGTTCTCGTGCAACTCTGAAGTGTTTTCTGACAAAGCCAGTGGCAGATCTCTATTACTTGATAATTCAAGCTGGATTACATCTGTTGAAGAAATTTCCCCTGATCATTCTGATGAATGGACATGGAGCTGAAGATTCTCATAAATTTCTGTGGGTCCTATTATCATATGATGGAATGGCAGGATTGCCCCCTAACCCACTGAAGGTATGTTCTTTCTCCATGATTATCCTTCATGTGGCCTTGTTAGACTTATGTTATGCTTGAGATGCAGGAACATGTATTTTCTTCTTTTTTTCCAACAGAATGGAATTCCACCAAGGAAAACATTGTTAATTTCGGGGTGTTTATTGCACTAGCATGACATTAGTCTACTATGTGTAGGTCACCATGTTCTGGAAGCATTCAATGCCAAATACACAGTGCTTAATGGTAACAAATGACTTGCCTGGCTTGGAAACAGGTAATTCCCCAAATTAAGTCTGTAGCTGGGCATGTAGTAGGAAATTGGTTTTTGAGGTTGCAAATAAAAAAAACTTAGTAGTTCTGGTATTTTGCTTTCCTAGGTTTCATTCACTAAGTAAACAAATGTCTCATAGGTATCTATACTTCCACCCCAGGATGTCAGTCTAGAGATAAAAATGCAAGGCATGATGTGTGTGGACAAGAAGCACATCATGGGTTTGAAACCTGCCACAGACAAAAGCCTAGTATGTTAGTGGAGAAGGATAGAGGGGCAGGTCCATTATCCACCAACTACCAAGTCTCTTATCCTGCAATACTAGGACCTCAGGGATTTCTCGATTACTAGAAAATAGGTATTTAGTATATATAGCATTTACTGATGGCACTTTCTGAACAACATTTACTCATTAGTTTTCTTTTACCATATATAGAATGTGACATTGCATAGCCTGTTTAACTGGGAAAAGGCAAGGAGAGTGAAAGCTACAAGTAATTATATCCAAATCTAGAGGGTTGGTAATTTCTCATTACAGTACAACTTGTTTGTATAGGGAAACTGTTAGGAGCTTTCGAATTTCGTTCTATACCATTTCATACAATTAGTTGTACTCTTTCTCGGTTCTCAAAACCATTTTTGTCTTTGCTTGAATTTTGAATTATCATGCAAGGGTGGCGAAAGTTATGAGTAGGGGTATCTAATTTGGAGGTTTCTAATGATAAGTTTTTATAGGGAAATGATTAGAAGCCTTCCAAAAAACTTTTTTTTGGTTTCTCATCTGGCATCAGATACCCGCTTTGTTGTAGCCTAACACATCCGGAGTTGCACCATAATGTTCCATTTTTGAGGCTAGGGTATTCCCTATTAAATGTGACATGATGCCCCGAGTTCGAACTCGAGACCTCTCGTAAGCCTTCCAATTTGATTATACACCAGTTCATAAATTAGTGTAACCTTTCAGTTTTCAAAACCCCTTTTGTCTTTGCTTGAAATTCTTGTTGCCGACTCCTTATGGGGTACTAGATTGTATATAGCAAAATAATAGCCAAGTGTGTTATATTATCTTGTAGTGTGCATTTGGTGAGACTTAGCGGTCAAAAAAGTGCGTTGAAAACTATGAGGTCTTAAGTTTAAATTCTAAGGAGTCAAAAACACTAGTAATTTGTTTTCATTTGTGATCTGTCCAGGGGCGGACCTACCTTGTTGCAATTGGTTCATATGAACCCACTTCGTCGAAAAAATACACTGTATATATACATATATATTCAATCTGTTTTTTGAAACAAAACACTATAGATAATTAATTTGATCCCACTTAAACCAATAGTAACATGTAGCCCAGCGCAAAGTAGTTACAGTTTGACTAATGCATCGCGGGTACGATTCCCACCCACAACATTTAATACTGCTTCATTTTTTTTTAATATGTTGAACCCACTTGGTAAAATTTTTGGGTCCGCCACTGGATCTGTCCAAGCCTTTTGTCAATTGAAGCCTTGGTGGACAGAGTCCTTGGTACCTATGCTGGTGAGAGGTATCTCATAGAATTAGTTGATATGCATTTAATTAACTCAAACATCACAATTATAAAAAATGGTTAGAAGCCTTCCAATTTGACTTATACACCTTTCCATAAATTTGTGTAACCTTTCAGTTCTCAAAATCATTTTTGTCTTTGTTCGAAATTCTTGCTCCTAACCCCTAATGGGGGTATTAATTATAGAGCAAAAGAATAGTCAAGTATTTGAATATGATTTTGCAGTGTGTTTTGTTCGTTTTCCTTCTCGAAAGCTGGAGGTCAACAGTGAAATGTCAATTATAACAAGGAATATAGAATAAGCATAGAAAAAAAAGATGTGTATAGACAAAAAAAGATGTGTGAGAACATGTGTCGAATCTTACAGTGGTCCCCTTTTACCATGTGTGTCAATCTCATTTGTCGAACTTATCAGCTCTTATTAGTTTTGGTTCTTGGCATCTAAAGAATCTTTCTCATAATGTCTCCTAGCACTGTGCCTAAACATTTCTTTAGTCAGTATTAATCCTAATCCTATTGGCTTGTTTAAAGTTTAAAGCATACGAACAAGCTGACCTTTTTACGTACTATTCTTAACAATGAACTCTTTTATTCGAATTTTTACTCAGTTTCTAGCAGTGCATCAAAAGGTGTTTTTAGCTTTGCCGTTTTTGTGCTTAAAATAATGCTTTTTTTAAAAATTAGGCATGTCCTTTTGCGTGTATTTCATTTTTCGAGAAAGAAAGCCATGCTGAATGTTTTTAATTAAATGACTTTCTTTCAGCAGAGGTAATTAGTAAAAAAAGTAACTCATGAGATCTGTAAAAAAACACACACAAATCTTTTTAGGGAGATCATTTTCTTCGTTTAAGTTCATCAATTATCTATTATACTATTGCGTTTTAACTATAGATGCAATTTTTGAACAAGGTGGAATCAAATTGGCTTTGGTCAATTACCTTTTCAATTCGAATAAGATTCAGCCCATTGCCCTTTTTTTGCTTCTTTTAGTAAAAAAAATTTCACTGCGTTAGGGGTCGGCGAAGGAATGGGAATTCACCCAAGTCTATTGTGGGAAGACTCTCACTAATTTATTTATTTTACCTCTCCTCCCACCTTTTCGCTCTCTTGGTGACTCGAATTCACAATCTTGTGCTTATCATCTGAACAACGTTAATGTGAAATCATAATTCTTGATTTTTTTTTATATTTTATTTAGTTAATCCATTTATTGGGTGATCAATTACTTTCATAGTCTAATGGTACTCCCGTGAGTGTTATATTTGGTCATTTTACTCACCTCTAACATCCTTCCCACTTGGATGTATATATAGGCATCAAGATCCTTGTGCCCGTTGGCTCCTTTTGCTGTTTGATTATCTGTGTTAATTAGTTCTTCAATAAGCATGTGTACCAACTCTTACCAATATTGACCAAAAGGCCCAAAAATGGGACCAAAAAGCTCTAATTCCTTTTTAATGGGAAATCAGGAAGGTGACATTTGCTGCATCAGCTAATAGCATAAAATTTAGGAATATTGAATGTCATTATTTGCATGCAACAATACGGATTAATAGGAATTACTACTAATTGTTAATTTTCATTTTGAAAAAGTCACGTCAAATCCGTGAGAAAGGGACAGTTTCTTCATTAGATAGACTTAGATCTCCCTTGGCCTTAATTTTCCACAGAAGATGAGAAAATATTAAATAGAACTAGAAGACTAATGCTGAAAATATAGATAAATTATTACTCGCTCCATCCATTAATAGTTGTCCATCATGCTATTTTGGGATGCCAACAATACTTGTTTAGTTTATGAAATCAATGAATAATTTTACATTTAATTCCTAATATATTCTTATTATTAATTAATTATTTTTCTATTACATTTTTAAAGATATTATATTTATTATATTCAAAGGGTTATATATTAGTAAAATTATCCTTTTATTTATAGTTTCTTAAAAATTATATCAAATTAATAGTGAATAAGTATTGTTCAAAGAGTAATAGTACTTAATAACTTGTTCAACTTAGCTAGAAATGACATTAATGCAATTGTTTTCACTTGCACGTGTGTTCAATAGTAGGCACTCAACTACCTAAATGTAAAAATTAATACAGTGGTTAATAAGTCATAATATAAAATGACTATATATACACCCCTTGACAAAGTTTTGTTGAAAAGGAAAACCTGTTGTTGCTATCTTTTGGTACCTTTATTTTTGGTGGTTAGAGGTTTTAAACTTGAGATCGAAGTCTCAAGCTTAAATCATTGGGCCTCTCAAGAGTAACTCTTAATTAACTCGTTTGACCTCAAGAATACTTAGAGAAAACTTGGGAAGTGGTGTTTGGTCATATAACTTGGCAAATATATTTGTCAAGTATCCCAAGTTCTCAAATACTAGAAAAAATGAGTATTTGGGCCAAGTTTCAATATTTGGAAATTTTAAAGAATCCAAAATTACCCCTAACTTTTATATTTTATAAAAAAATACCCAATATAATTATAACTGAATTAATGACTAGTTTTAGTATGTGTTTAATGTATTGTCTTGCTTATTTGTTGTCTTTTGTTATTGTTGATTGTTATAAACAATATTATAAGGTTATTTTTTTAATGGAACATATTCATTATAAAATAATAATATAGATTTACGAATATTTTTAATAACTTTTAGATCTTATGTGTATAAATCAAATTTTTTGGAAAAAATTAAGGTCAAACACATGGTAAAACTTCACCCTAATATAATTTGTCAAGAATATTTGAGAACTTGGGGCTAAACGCTAGCTAAATTAATTGAACGAACAAAAACTATAATTTGCATTAAGATAGTGCAATTAGCTTTTTTGGCGTAAAAATATTTATAGATTCAAATCACTTAGAGTAATAGATATATCTAGTTGGAAGCGATTGGTAACTTAGTTAAATGATAGTATAAGTATGTTGTAATTTATAAAGCGTTATATTATATTTGGAACAATAATTCTTTATATTTCCAATTTATAAAACTTGAACGCAAAAAATAAAAAAATAAAAATTAAATAATATTTTATTACATCTCATTGGGAACTATCCACACCTTATCATAGACAAAACATGCGCGATGGTGGTACGAATTTTCTTTTTTTTTAAAAAAAAAAAAAAAACATGAAAGGCAAATGTCAGCTAAGTGGAGCTAAGAAATGAATCCTCATTATTATAGTATGATTATATCCATACCGGGTTGAACATATAACTGATAGCCTAAATAGAGCCAACTAGTTTTATTTTATTAGACATATATTTGTATTTTGTAATAAAGTAATATATGATGAAGTATAATTACTGCGTTATGTCTACACATTAGCCCATCGAATTATAACCAAAAATAAAATTTTATGTTATTATAAATTTTAGCTAGTCTGATTGCTATGTGATTCTTTCTTTATTATTTGTATGCCTTTTTATTTATTTATTTATGCATATCATTTTTCTTTTATTCATCATATGTGATAATTAAATTAATGGTCTTGCGGAAACCATTTTTTGTCTTTACGAGGTAAGGATAAAATTTGTCTATACCACTCTCTTCAAATCTCATATGTGTGAGATTTTACTGAATATGTTATTATATAAATTCTAACTAGTAATTAATATATAACTACTATTATATAATTAATATATAATACAGACCGACAATAATTATAAATTATTATGATTAGACAAATGAAAATTTTATAACCGACTGACTGAAAATATTAAGATACGTTAATATGGAGAGTGACTTGGTAAGCAAGAGGGGTCCCTTTTTGTTGTTTGTGGTCATAAGTCTCTCTTTGAGATTTGTAGTCCAATTATATGGTCTTGATTTATCTGAACCAACAAGTAAAGCTACCATCATTTGGAAATTAGCCTAAAATCCACTTTATTTGGTTGGTTTTTTTTATAGAAAAAAAGTGTCTTTTTCTCTTTAATTGGTAGAATAATAATGCTTGAAAAAGCTGTCATGAATAGCTAATGTAAGATTTTGCAATCGAGTTGTCAAAGTCAATGGACAAATGAGCCAAAAGCTTCATTATGAAACTAATCATAGAAAAACTACTTTATTATATGCATTCCATTATTTTATACTATGCCTTTATATTTTACTACTTTATAATTGTACTACAACTATTGATCCCTCACCTTTGCATTGGAGATCTTTTTGTTCTTTTGTGTTAAAGATTCTCTTGATTGTGAAGAAATAAATGTACACATCTTCGTCTTATAAAAACGTTTAGAGGGAGATGTGTAGTAAAAAAATAATTTTTTTGCACAGTGTAGTTGCTTATTCAAAAAATATATATAAGAAACAAATGTATATAACATATGTATATTTGTGTTCAACTGTGACTAACTAGTGCATAGTATTTCATATGTATATTTGTGTTCAACTGTGAATAACTAGTGCATATTATTTCATATGTCTTAATTTATATGATTTTAAAAATAAAATAAAAAAATTGATCAGTTCATAAAAGAATAACATATTTTATTATTTAACAAATATTAAATGATATTATCAATATTTTATCCATATTGGTTCCACTTATTTGGAGAAGTCCACAAAAGTGTGCTCCTTTTAAGGTAATTCTGGTACATTGCGAAGTTTTTCCATATTTTTAAAATTTCATATCGAATTAAACTATATCATATAAATTAAAACGAGTGGAGTGATATATATATATCAGATTATCAGTCAGGAGATGTAAATATTCATTGTCGAACAACCAATTGTACTACTTGTCCTAAAAAATAGTACTAAGGAGAAAAAAAGAGAGGATACAAATCTTGAATAATTTTATTTATTACATTTTTTAGTAAGTGTTGACAACAATTAATAATTATTTCCTCTATCTAATAATAATTATCCATTATTAACTTGACACAAAAACTAAGAAGCAATACATTATAGGGGTTATTTTAATAAATCACCCTTATTAAATATGAGTTATCTAAATATTGAAAAATAAATAATATTTAATAGCAAGAATAAAATATAAATAAAATGATAAATTATTCATTGATTTTATAAACTAAACAAGTATTGTTGGACATCCCAAATTATTCATTTGATTGTCATATTATAAAATTAGACTTAATTTAAAGCTCCTAAAATGAGAAAATAAATGTGGAAGTTATCTCATAATCATGCATACACCTAATTGTATTAATTTTCAATGCATTAAATTGATGGATTCACTTACCTGAAATCTAAATGTTGTTGCTACCAAATTGGTCATAACATTAAATTCAAAAAATGATTAAATTAATAATGCAATAAGGGATAGTTTGCTAATCGGTTTGGAAAAATATTATTGGTTAAAATTATGATTTAATACGATGTTTGATGTGTAATTTAGAAATATGTATATTAATATATTTATAAATTGTGAAGAAATTTATGAATAATTAAATTTTACATAATAATTTATGTATTAGTACCCGCATACCTTTAACTAGCTGCCAGAGGACCCGCAAGTGTAATTTATAAATTCAACAACCCTTCGACGGTGCACCTGTTAATACTTACCAGCTCTATACGAGCCGCGTTTTATGTGGGGGCAATTTTGATGAAATAATTAAGAAGTGGGGTCGAGATACAATTATCCCAAACCATAAGGATCTTTTCTTGTCAGGTCAATTTTATTGTATTTACTAATGAAGTATACCTTTTTTCATTTTGTGTTCTCATTAATCCACAAACTTTTTACTTCACTTCCTCTCTCTCTACTCTCTCTATTAACGTGATCGGTGTGAGCTGATGAAGGCTCTCCGGCGAGTTTCCCACCGGAATGCTAATTTTCAGTTTCCGGCGACTTCTTTGCCGTGAAATGACTGGTAGATCTGTGTCCACATTTTGAGCTTTTCTAAGTTATTTTTCACGCATTTTTTCAGCTACTGTATGAAACCTGCGGCGGTGGCATTGTCAAGTGGTCCTGCATTTCATTGATTGAAGATTTTTTAGCATAACTGGAAGTGTTTTCATTTTCAGTTGCCATTTTTATACTCTCTTCCGATCTATCTTTTCTAAGGTAATTCGAATTAGATTTTCTTTGTTTTTTCTCTTTTTCGTAATTTCGTGTTCTCTTTTCTTCTTTTTTTCGGATTTTAGCTTTTTAAGGTTTTGTTGTTTATGCCTGTCATTTCCTGTCTATTTTATTTCAGGGTTCATTAGTAATTACTCTGATTGGTTTGTTAGTTAGTTTCGTAAAAAAATATCGTTTTTTTACTGCTTTTGTTATGATTTTTGCTTGACTGGTTGATCTGAAGTTTCATATGGATTTTTGTGTATTTTCTAGCTGTATAATCTAGGTCTAAACAGTGTAATGTATGCAACAAATGGTTGAATAAGCTAATTTTTTTGTCATTCGTTTATCCTGGTCAATTCATTGAATTCCATCTATTAAAAGGAAAAATTATATATTTCAAAAATAATTGATAGAAATACAGCAATAACGCCATTGCAGCATCATAAAGGAGTAGTTCCCACCCGGGTGCTATTTTTCCAAATTCCTATTTAATGGTTTTAATAATTCTCCCTCCTCAGTTTGCTGTGAAGCTGTTGTTGGAGAAAATGCATCTTTTGTAGCTTCACATATTGGGATCCTTGGCATGAATAACTGAAGTATGAAAATCTATGTCTCCATTTAGACGTAGCAGAATGAGAGGGTGAATTGTCTGATATTAGATTTTCTCTATGATTTGACTACTATAGTTTGTTGATAACATTTTTATTAAATCATGTTACTTATCTCTTCTGGGTTTTCTGCCTATACCTGTAAGCTTGTTCTTTAAGTTCTTGTTCTCTCCTAATTTGTTCCGAGTACCTGCTACTCGTGGCTTCAATGTTGTATGGTTGTATTATGTTTGCTGACTTGAACACCTCCCTATTTATTTGGCATATCGAAAATTATAAGTATTTCGGATTTGATTCTCTACTCTTTGGATATTAATGTTTCATGAGAGAAGGATTGATGCAGCACTGTGGAATTACATTGTTAATTTTGTGTGTGTCTCAGGTGGTGAGATGAATGGGTTTCAGAATGGAAAAAATTGCAATCTTGATAAACCTTTTCCAGGATGCTTGGGACGAATGGTGAACCTTTTCGATTTAAATTCTGGGGTGGCAGGAAACAAGCTTCTTACAGATAAACCACATGGTATTAATGAACTTCTTTGCTATATATGTTTCCTTAGTGTTTGTTCCATCTTTGATTTTTGAACTCTCTATTGAGATTTACATAAACAAGACACTAATGAAAGTGCTGTAGGTAAAAAACATCACCATTGTTCCGGTTAGACCTTCTTCATCTTCTTTTTTTCTTTTTGTGATGAAGAGTGTTTATTAGAACATTTTAGTGAAGTTGACTCTTCAAACTTGGGAACGGTGCATAAATAGTATTGTTTGCTGAAGACTAATCGCCTACCAAGTTTAAAAATGATATATGATGTATGGGTTGGCTGTGTATGAATATGACTGCCTCCATGTGGAGCTTTTTTCATTTGCATAAAATAAGGACCTCCTGCAAGAACAGTTGAATCTAGTTTGAATTCATATGGATGATTTTGAGTATTTGATTTTATTGTTTTTGAATCTTCTAACCGTAAAATTGAATCTTTGTGTTGACTTGGCCCATCTTACTGCAGGCTCTCTTTCGAGGAGCCAATCAGATGTTGTCAGGATGTATCCTTCTGGGGATCAAATAGAGGAAAAAATGGTATATTTTCAGACTATCTCTAGATGATATTAATTAAGGAAGCAAGATGAGCTGGGTTTTGTAGAATTTGGCTTCAATACTAATACTCAGATATGGTGCATGCAGATTGTTTCAGATTTGAAGAGAAACAGTTCAAACAGGAAATCAAATGGAACACCAATGAAGATGCTTATAGCCCAAGAAATGTCCAAGGAAATAGATTCTAGTCAGAACCCACCTAGTCTTGTTGCCAAGTTGATGGGCCTTGATGCTTTTCCAACTCGGAGATCTGTTTCAGCCACACAAAGTCATTTTGGAGGTCATTCTCGATGTCATACTGATTCCTCTTTCAGTTATTGCCAGCACGAAAACGGATCTTTGATGGAAGAAATGCATCAGAAATTTCATCAATGCCCAGAAGAGAATGAATATAAAGATGTCTATGAAGTCTGGCAGCAACCCACGAAGATAAACTGTGTGAGAAGCAAATCTCCCCAAAAGGCAAGACACGACGAAACCAGTATTGACAAGAAGGTAGCTTTTGTTCGTCAGAAGTTCATTGAAGCTAAATGTTTATCTATAGATGGAAATCTTCGCCAGTCTAAGGAATTCCAAGAAGCATTGGACGTTTTAAGTTCCAACACAGATTTATTTCTCAAGTTTCTGCAAGAACCCAATCCAATGTTTTCGCAGCAGTTACAAAAGTTGAAATCTGTACCTCCTCCTCCTGAGACAAAACGAATTACTGTTCTTAGACCAACAAAAATGGTGGATAATAGTAGATTTGGTGAATCAGGAAACAAAAATGAAAAAGAGATGAAGAGAGCCACCCAGGTGGGTCAGGGAAACAGGGTAGACGAAAGCCATTGTCCGATTTCCCCTCCTGCACCAGGGTGGAATATTGATGAAAATCCCGCTCAGCCGACAAGGATAGTGGTGTTGAAACCAAGTCTTAGCAAGACACGCAACTGCAGGGTTGCAAGTTCTCCACCTTCAGCATCACCAAGAGTATCAGAAGCTGAAATGAAGTATGTAAACATAGAGGATAATGAAGCACAGGATTCAGGAGAAGTGGCCATATCACAGAAGATGCATGAAAACCTTGGTGGACACAGAAGGGATGAAACCTTGTTTTCTTCTATGTCTTCCAATGGCTACATTGGTGATGAAAGTTCATTTAACAAGTCTGAAAATGAGTATGTTGCAGGAAATCTCAGTGATTCAGAAGTCATATCACCAGTTTCTAGGCACTCCTGGGATTACATTAATAGATTTGTCGAGCCTTATTCCTGCTCCTCCTTGAGCCGTGCATCTTATTCCCCAGAATCTTCGGTTTCTAGAGAAGCCAAGAAGCGACTTTCAGAGAGATGGGCAATGGTGTCTTCTAATGGAAGTTTTCCGGAACATAGACATCTGCGAAGAAGGTCCAGTACATTAGGTGAGATGCTTGCTCTTTCTGACACAAAGAACGCTGGAGGAATGGAGCAGGAGATTAGCAAAGAAGAGCCCGGAACTTCAAATTCCAACTTGATGAATAATTCCAATTGTGATGAAGTCATTGATGAGTCACCAAGGAACCTCTTGAGGTCTAAATCTGTTCCTGTATCTTCGACTGAATTCGGTACGCTGTTGAATGCAGATGTTCCAGGTCCTGAGACAGGAAAACCCAACCTTCCTGAAGAGACAACAAAACCAAGAAGCACAAAATTGTCACTGAAAAATCTGTTGTTCTCAAGGAACAAAAAACCAAGCAAAGACAGCGGACGCCATCTGCAATCCAACAATGAAGTGCAGTCTGGTGTTAAGTCTTCACATTGTCCTGCAAAAGTTGATCCAGGACGTGAGTTCTCGTCAGCCGATCTTCACAAATCACCAGGCAAACTAGTTTCCCAGAATTCGTTTGGGGAGCAAGGCATAATTTCTCCTGAGGTAAAGTACTTTCCTCTTTCAAGAAACACTTTCTGGGTGATACCTTAGTGTGGTTTTATGGGACTAATTAGGGGAAATCAGTTTGATTCCATTTTCTGTTCATTTAATTTGATGGTTACCGAAACAAAAATCAGTTTATTTCCACTTTTTTGGTTCTTATGTTTTGATGGTTATCATCTGTCTCCTGAAAAGTAGGCAATAGGAGTTCTCTCAACTTTTGATTCGTCTCCTTGTAATTTCTTGCATACCTTTTTTTTCTTCCTCTTTTGTGATTTCTGTTAAAGAGGTTTTATCAATCTATGGGGGCAATCTGTTGTACCAACTGTAATAGGATTTATATGACTATTTCACAAATTGACTGCTTACAAAGAAATTCAAAGCTCATTGATGTTGTACTTTTAGCAGGTTGGCCTGTTTGTATCAAAATCTTTGCCCTTGGAAAATCAATGTGAGAGCCAGGACCAACCAAGTCCAATATCTGCTTTGGATACAACATTTGAAGAGGATGAACATCCAGCATGTATATCCTTTGGCAGGACGAAGCCAGATCATCATGGTAAATCATGTAACTAGTGACACCTAAAGCTCTATTTTTCCCTTTTGTTTTTGATAATGTGCTATATGTGCAACTTCTAGTTTGACCTTTTTTTTGTTTGGATCAAATCTAGCAGGTGGTGAGTTGTCTGTTGACCCTATAAGGTGCAATCTGATTGACAAATCTCCTCCAATAGGATCAATTGCTCGTACTCTGTCATGGAACGATTCCTGCGTAGATACGGCCAGTTCAGTTCCTTTAAGACCATCCTTATCCACTTGGCGGACAGAGGAAGAAGAAAAAGAATGGTTCTCTTCTGTTCAAACTTTATTAACGGTGGCTGGCCTTGATGAAGTGCAATCAGATGCCTTCTTATTGATGTGGCATTCGACTGAAAGCCCTTTGGATCCATCTCTAAGAGAAAAGTATGTTGATCTCAATGAGAAGAATACACTACACGAGGCCAGGCGAAGACAAAGGAGATCAACCCGAAAACTTGTGTTTGATTGTGTAAATGCAGCACTGATGGAAATCTCAGGATATGGGCCAGACACTTGCCAAAGAGCCATTCCCCATATTGGGGTTAGTAACAATCTTCCAGAAGGAGCTAAATTGATATTGGTGGACCAGGTGTGGACCCGAATGAAGGAATGGTTTTCTAGTGAGGTGAAATGTCTCTCTGGTGATGATGATGAGGACGGAAACAGCCTGGTGGTGGATGGAATGGTGAGGAAGGAGGTTGTGGGGAAGGGTTGGCTTCAATATTTGAGGTTAGAGATAGACAATGTAGGAACGGAAATTGAAAGGGAGTTGCTGGCAGAGCTTGTGCATGAATCCGTCATTGAATTGACAGGTAGAGCGTGATAAGGCTTTTTTCCACTTAATTTTTGTTGCCCCAAATTATGTTATCTCTCCTGTATTTATTATGTTTGCCAACAATGCTGCAAACATTGTTTATATTGCAATTCTGTAATGTTTTTTACATCTGGAATTGTTTTGCATTGTATGCTTCGGCTCTGGTCTAGTTGTCATTTGTACAGTCTAACTAAACTAAGTAAGTTGAGTGCCGACACAAATGCAGTTTCTTACACTTGACAATTCACCTTAGCTTGTGTTATGAATTGGTCTCACTTTTTTGTTTTTTCAGTCATCCACTATATAAACTCCACAACCACAAGTCACGATGCATTCTAGAGTGTGGTTTAATGGTCAATAACATGAATGAAAACTTAGAGAGATCAGAGTTCAAATTTCATCGAAGCATAAATAGTCAAGGTGTCAGGTGTGTGTCTAAGCCTTGTAAGATATGTTCTTTTTTCACTCCCCCCAATCATAAGCAACATACTCGGTGTAATTTTGCTTAAAAGTGTACATATATTTTCCACAGGCCCTCAACTCAAGAGAGACTATTTCAAAGTAGTTTGGAAAAAGAACTAGGAAGCTAAGAAGCCATAGGAAATAAAATATGACAAAGTATGTTGAAAAGAAATGAATAGTAACTATAACGAAATAATAAGGTAATCGAATTATGAGGGAAAAAACAGTAAGAAATATTTAAGGACAAGAGAGCCTACAAGAGTATATCCTACTACTAATGGTATGAAAGGAAAGGAGAAGCCAGACAGGCAGGCAATACACAACTGTCTACTGACCTAATCCACCCCCACCCCTTGTGGGTAGCCAATGTGACTACAAGCACGTGTGATCATCCCCAAACTATGTGAGTCATTTAAGACCTCATTTGGCCTCTCTGGCTAAAAGTTACCAATAGTCATTATTAGTTCACTGAAGAAGGAATTCTTAGGTGGAAGTACCAAGTCTTTTAACTGGACCATAGATGGAATTAGAGGAGGAGAAATCTCGTGACTATAACTCTTTGAATATCCCATGCATCTATTTATTCTACTTCGAGCTCCCTATACTAGAGAAAGCAAAAGATCTATAATGACGACAACATAATATCTACACATTGATTTTCCCAGCGTTACAAAAAAAAACACTAGGTAACTCTTTTCATTTGTCCTAAACTTGACGGATATAGTTACCTTATATCTATTGCTAGTGAGAGGTGACAAGTATCCCATAAAATTAATCGAGGTGCGCAAAAGCTGGTCTGGATACCACGATTATCGGAAAAAAAATATCTACACATTGATTTTCATGGGCTGTACAGCTAATAAAATAAAAATGTCACTGTGCAAGCGAAGCCAAAAGATTCACATGCCGACCATATGCAGGAAAAAAGTTATCGAGAATCTAAGATTTGAAGTTTATGAGCCGTGAATGTCATATATTAAATGAATTTTATCATAAAAAAAAAAGGTTTAGGACCAAAAAAATTGGATTTTGCCGAACGTGCACCTTCTACTCTTTCTGCAATTTTTTGTTACTTAACTATAGTAAAATGATACTTATATATTACTTACTTTGTGAAATTAAAGGTTGTAGTGCTAATTGATTTGGTATAAACACTCGTTCCGAGTAAGAAAATTTCTCAATATACTATTAGCTAACTAGGGATCCTAAAGGTAAAATAAAAGCCCCCGCTGGAAGTGCTACAACAGTAGGTTAATTTGTCCTTCGAAAGTCATATTCACTAGAACTTGATTGACCCATGTACATTTATAACGAGGAAAAGGACTTACTCAGACTCCATGTATGCGCCAAATCATGTTAATGTTGAACGACAAATTGAATTAAGAATGCATTACCTAACCATAGTTAGGCAAAATAATCCTATGAAAAAAGCAATTGTCATGGATTTATTGGTTTGATGCATATACCGGGTGTGTAGGGACGGAGCCCCAACCCCCTTTTCTTGGAAAATTACAATGTATATACGAGGGCAATTTTTATATATAGTAAATGATAAATTCCTCTTGTGTAAACGCCAAATGCCAAACTTTTTTTTAATCCTTACAAAATATGGAGAAACCTAATATATTTATTACTATGTGAAATGAAAAGAAAAAACAAGGCAAAGGGCAAAACACTTGATTGTTGGACCACACACTTGTTTTGCCAAGACAAGAGTAGGACCATAAGGACATTAATTGCACATGTTTTATGGGTATATTGTTCAATGGCTTGTTCAATCACACCTAATTGCTGACCCTGTTGGTACAATACAGCACAAAGTTTTCCACACTACCTAATTCAATTAAATTATCAACATCCCAATATAGATGTGCAGGACATTTAACCTATTAAATAGGTGCAACAAATGCTATAGCAAAAACATATCTTGGATATAAATGAAACATATATATATATATATAAAAATACACTAGAGATGCAATTTCATCAGTTCGAGTAGTATATTACCCTGTTTTTATTATAGAGTTATCTGTTATTATAAGTCAACTTAGAGAGTGTAAAAAATATAATGCTTTGTGCAATCGAATATAAATTCATTCAAAAATGCTAAAATTCTCTTCAACCATCATCCGGCGATGAGATAAAACGAATAAAGAAGACAATAATTTTGTAATCAATTAACAACAAAAGCAAGGTGAATTATCCTTATTCGCCTTAATCTTGGCGGGTATATTTAGTTGATAAATGTTCCAAGGAAGGATAACATATGCTTAGTGGATTAATTAAAGATAATTTATTTGTATATAACTATAGTTCTGCTTCTAATTACGAGACAGAGCAACCGTTTCTGTATTTACGAAACATAACGATAGTTTGTAACCATGCGCAACTGAAATACATTGTATCTGTACGGATAGCAATGGTGAAATACATTGAATCTGCACGCATAATAAGTGAAGTACATTGTATTTTTGTGAATAACAAGTGTATTCATGTGTATACATATATACAATATCTAACTTGTATCCACGTATATTGCTGTAATAAAAAAACTATCGTCATAGTTATGTATTTTTCTTAAACTACTGTATTATAAATAAATACAGAGCATTGGTTTAAATGCTGACAAATTGAATGGAACACTAGAAAAAAGAAGAGAATCAATTAAATTACGCGGTTAAGCAAACTTATACTATTTAATTACTCATCATAGCTATAGTTTGCTATAATTACCACTCACGACTAATATTATACATTAATTATGTGGGCTGACTTCGAGTTTGTATAATTAGCCACGTTTGTATATGTATAATTCGCCAGAATATACAAATACATATGTATAATATA